ATCAGTTCATGAAGACAGAATGCTCCATCAGAATGACAAGGCAGGATGGTCTCCTGACTGGATCATGAGACACGAGTAGAGCATCCCCTTGCAAAAATGTTTCATATGCACACATTAAAGTTATAATCATCATTGAATAAACCTAACAGACAGGCATCACTGGAGGTTTACCTTAGCCCCATGAACCGGTCCGTTAGCAGGAAACGGCCTCCCAAGGACCAGTCTGGGACCCATCATGGAAACAAAGGAACCATTGAATCCCTTCTACTGATTTATGCAGTAAGTTTGTGTTAAACTTATCTAAATGGGATTATTTTTCTATAATAAAAATGCTTAAAATTAGGGTAAACTGTTTCACTGGGTGGAGTATGCACATGGTCAGCTGGTAGTCAGCTGCTTTGCTTTATCAAGGTCAACCAGTCCATTACTAAAAGTGGCTGAGAATGGATTGCCATTTCTTGCAAATGTAATCACTTTTGTTTTGTTTTTTTCCCTCTAGCCAACAGGACAAGAAAATAAAAATTGTAGCTTGAAGACTATCAGAAAAGCAGAAAAATCAAATAACTTTTGTTTATGTGATTTGTTCATATTTTTTTTTTGTTTTTTAGTCCAACCCTTTGCAGAATATAATTAAGGTTAAAAGAAATATTGCTACAAATTAAAAAGACGGAAAACCTTAACATCTCAGATCAGCTGTTGAGTGTGCATCTCAAAGGACTCGTGTTTTTTATGACTCCACTGTACATGTGCATGTGTCAACATGACACATTTGCTTATATTGTGTATGTGTTATTTCAAAAGATTAATGGATCTAACAGCAAGTTTCTAAAAGCAAAATTTCACATGAAATGCTGCAGCAATTTCTGATCTGCAATTAAAAATAACTTTCCTATCACTCATATGGTGATTATTTGAATATAAAAGTTATTTCTAGAAAAAAGTACATTTCCAGCAGTGAAAGCCAAGCAAAGGTCATGACACTATTGCTATAGGCAACTCAAAATGTTCTAGGCGTCAGCGGGGGTTTGCCAGGTCAGGAATTTAAACAATAGAGGGGCATGCTGTTTTTGTCTCTGCCAGGTATAAATGTAAGACACCCAGACTGGCAGGGCATCAGTTCAACTACAGTTCTCTGAGAGACCTGACCAGCCACAGCAACCACCATGGGCAAGGTAGAAATATGGAAAAAATATCACATAATTAGTATATTAATTGAGAGGAAATATCTGGTAGAGTTTATTGGTGATTGTCCTCTCTTGGATACCTTCTTTTCAAACAGATCATCTTCTACGAGGACAGGAACTTCCAGGGTCGCCACTATGAGACCAGCAGTGACTGTGCTGAGCTCACCTCTTACCT